GCTATTTGCTTGGATGTTCAGCACCACGATTGCGCTAGCTTGGATTGTTGGCATTAGCAAGCTTCTCTGGAATATTTTGAACACTAGTTGGTGCAATGGGGCAATCAATGTGTTCAATTCTTTGTGTACAGATACCAGAACCACTACCACAGAAATAAATATTCTATGTCAAAAGATTTCTCCTGCTATAAAAGGCAGTCCAAACCCTTCCTGTCAGTCATACTAGGGCTAAGATTCATACTTCACATTCAGCAATGATCTATACTGGTTTAGCAAATTCACCCAGGAATGATTTATTCAAGAAGCTATGTGAGGTTAAGTAAATAAAGTTTAGTGCAGGACTGGGCTAGGCAACATTGTTTTAGGCTGAGAATACCTCTTGACTTTGGAGTAGTGTGCTAAAGGGTCACACTCCGAAAAATTGGTGCCAGAATAAAAAAGATTTGATTAACATTACTTTCAAACAAGATGGAACATACTTAACAATTGTTTCCCATCCTTTTAATAATTCTCCTCTTCTGTCACCTGAAACATTTTGATTTGGGGGGAACTTCCAGAGGGGCTTGGAGGATGCAGCCAGAACTTGGAGAGGTGTGTGCGACCCCAGGCTTCAGTCTACACAACTTAGTGCAATTTCAGTTTCTTAGACCAGCCTACTATTTGCATGTGCTGGGGGACCACTGTTACAAAATGGTGATGATGTCCTGTGTTGTATAAAATTATCCCCCCCAAATTAAAAATACAGGAGCACAGCTGACCCGGCATTAACATCATTGAAATGATTCGGAAGCTCCCGAAATAGAACCCCAATAAAGGTGCATTCATGCATCTCCTGGTTTTGCAGGCAACAAAAAGTAGCCGATTTCAAGCCCTATTTCCCTGGTTCCCTCTTGTTTTAATAACTCATCCCCAGGACTGCAGCACGGACTTGGGTCAAACCATCATTTTTCATTTTGAAGCAAAAGGGTCTGGCATGTGCAGTGGAAAGTGCACCTAGTTGGAAGTGCACTGTTGGGGTCGTGATTTCCCAGGCAAAGGATAAGCAGTCCTTTGCCAGCTTTCTCCCCAAATTCTTGCCACCCTGCCCTGAAATTTGGAATGCCTCCTCTTTTCCGACCGGGTTCCTGGGCTGGCTTGCCCCATCAGAGAGCAAGGGCATAGGAGCCTATAAAGTCATCCAGCTCAAGAGCTGCTCAGCACATCATTGGTTTCTGGCACCTTTTCAAGGCAGATGCGAATCTGGACCCCTTCCCTAAAAACCTAGACTATCCTGCTTGTCTCCCCCCACCCTGCTCTCCTAGAGCCGGGCATCCAAGCCTTTTTAGGGTGTTGTCTCGCGCTGCTTCCCCCATCGTAAGGGAGCAAAGTTCCGGCCTTCTTCCCACCCCCGTCTCGAGAGCATCACTGGTCACTATCGCCAGTTTTTCTCCCTGGGAAGAACCGGGGAGGGGGCTGCAGGGGAGGGGCAGGACGCGCGGGGACAGCGTTTGCGGGAGGGAGCCCTCGTCCGCCGCCGCTGCCCAATGCCGGGCGCCCTTTCTCGGGGCCGAAGGCTCGGCTTGGAAAACCAGCCGCGCAGCGGCGGGGGACGAGGGCTCCCTCCCGAAAACGCTGTCCCCGCGCGTCCTGCCCCTCCCCTGCAGCCCCCTCCCCGGTTCTTCCCAGGGAGAAAAACTGGCGATAGTGACCAGTGATGCTCTCGAGACGGGGGTGGGAAGAAGGCCGGAACTTTG